TTTCTTTGTATGTATGGATCACTTGGGTTGTTACCGACATCTGGTGAAAATTTCATGTCATTAGCACTAATTTATTTACTGAGAAAAATGGTGACGTGTTCAACACTTATTTTACCCGCTGTATATTTTTTGTCTAAAAAATGTGAACCTTCTTGTGCCTTTTTTTTGCAGATATTTGGTTCTTGCCTTGTATCTAATTTGCTTCAGTGCATGTAAAGATGTATAGTATGCCATCTGTTTTATTCAGTCCTGCATAAAATGTATGTTTCTTTCATGTAGACTCCCAGTGTTTTGCTGTGAGCTGGGGTCATGCAGTACTCAAAGGAGGAAGGACTTCTTGGCAGTCTGTGTGTCGGAGAGAAGAAACTAGAGGGGAAGACCTTCTACCTGGACAATGTGAAGAAGCGCTTAACAACACTGCTTTTAGAGGCCGTAACACTTCTGGGAGGGGTAGGCATTCATGAATGTGGCATTAAAGTGGATCCAGCACGGATTATTAATTCTTATCTTCACATTAGATTGTGTAAAAGTAAGTCTTTCTGTGAATGAAGTCCCTCCTCAGACACAGTTGTTTGCTTTTTTTTTTCCTCCTGAAGAGGGTTGAGAGTTTCCTGCACAAAGATGTGAACTTTGTTGTGACCGGAAACCAAGACGTTCTCAAGGAGGAGAAGCTGGAGAGTGGCCCCCAAAATGAAAAACAGAGACCGGGAACTCCTAGACCAACGGTACTGAGAGACACCAACATGTTTTATTAAATTTTTACAGCCATATTTTGTATTTTGGAACAGTGATCAAATAACAAAGAATCTCAACCATGAGCTGTTTGAAACTATAGAAAAACAAATGACATTGATAGCATCTTTTGTTTGTCTATTTATAAGTCGAGGATGAAAAAATGTATTTTATATTTTGCAGTTGGCACTGAATGAAAAAAGCTCCACTTTTTATATATTATACAGCCATATAAAATGCGTTTTAGTGTTTGGTTATTTTTATTGCAAACATTAAAGTAGCTTTATAAATATTGCAATGCATTTTACTTTTGTATAGAGTGCAATAATAAATGCTGTTTACTGTATATCCGATCTGCTTTTATCCCTGCAGGCTTGTGGGAGTCGGGGGAAGGCTCTTCTTGAAAAAGCAATTCGCAACAAAGTAAGTCGTCAACCAAAATGAACATTTACTCATGGACCTGTGCTCTGTAATTTGTGGAGGTGTTGACCTTTGGCTGGTTCTTGTTTATGGTGAACCTGTTCTTCATAGGAGCGTCTTCAGAGGACCGGCGTGTTGTTCAACGCTCGATCGTGGGGCGTAAAAATATTGTATGCAGATGGTATCCTTTATGGAGCGTGAGAGGTGCAGTTGGCCTGTTCTCACAGTAGATGGCATCATCTTCGTCTTTATTATAGAAATTAACAGTTACCTGAGTGTTTAAATGCTGATGATTTCTTGTGTGGAAAGACTAGAAAGCTCGAACTGGAAATATTTGGCAGCATGGTGGCTCATGGGGTGAATCTGTTGCCTCACAGCAAGAAAGTCCCCCRGTTTGGACCTGGGGTGTTTCTGTGTGGGGTTCGCACGTTCTTCTCGTGAGTTTTCACTTGCAGTTCAAATCATCCATGTTCGTCTACCTTCAGGCCTGTTTCCCTTGCAAAAGAGATCTGTCATCTCAGTGATATTTGCCTGGTTAAATGAAAGGTTAACATTAAACTTGCACTTTTCTCAAAGGTGATCTAGTGAAACGATTTAAAATAACAGGGTTCCTGCAGGTCCTTAAAAAGTCTTAAAAGGCATCAAATTCATCAATCCAAAAATAAGGCCTCAAATAGCCTTAAAATGTCTTAAATCAATCTTTCAGAGGTCTTAAAAATGTTAACACATTGTAAATAGGATGACTGTTTGTCTCAAAAATAAAAATAATTGGTAACGATTATTTTATTTTTTTAAACAATTTACCAAATTTACCGCAGCTAGTTGTTTTGCGTTAAACATTTGGGTAAATTTTTTTTCACATTTGCGTTTATTGTGAAGTTGGTCTTAAATTTCCTTTCAAGTGTCATTAAAAAGCATTAAAAAGTCTTAAAATTAACTTGCCTTAAGCTGTAGGAACCCTGAAATAAGAAGTTACGTTTTGATTGCACATCGGTAAAAAGCTTTGAAAACTCGGTGTGTGTGTGTGTGTGTGTGTTTTCACTTTGCTCTTGTGTGATTGTTTTAAAACTGTGCTGATCCTTAACTTGATGTCAGATGTCTTCTTATATTTGAAGCAGTTGACCCGGGAGAGTTTTGGTGCTAAACACAAGAAGACCGAGGTAAAGGATTTGGCTGATTGTTTTTATTTATTTTTATTTTGAGGAGAGAAAAAGGCAAAGTGAGTAAAGTCAGACTGAGCTGGCGAAACAACTTCAACAAGACCTGTGGAAATGTATTTTAAAGTTGGTTATAAAATGCTGATGRCTTTTTTTGTTGTTATTTTTGAAGAAGACATCCACAAAACCAAGTATGTCTGCTGTAAAAGGTTAGTTTCAGCTTTTTATTCCCCAAATTTCACAATTTAGGTTAATATTTGCCTAATTGCTCTCGTGTGTCTTTTATTTGCAGCTGCTGCTCTGAGATCTCCTTTTCTTAAAATTGAAGATATAAGCTGGTAAGTTTTGTCTCTACTCCACTTATTTTCTCTCCTGTTATGTAAGGTATGAAGTATATTTCTAACTGGGAAATCTTTTAAAACTTTCTTTGTGAAATTTTTACCAAAATCTAAGCATTTGTTCTCCATTGATCACCTCTTCTTAACATGTTTTTAATTCCAGTCAGTAAAGGATTAGTTTTTATTTATTTATTATTAATTAGTGTTTGCAGGTATTTTGATATCAAGACAGTAACAAGCGTCTTTCCTTTTCTGGCCTTACCGCCCTGCTGAGTTCTAGTTCTGTAGGTGTACATTTCAATCTATGTGACTTTCCTAATTGAATCCGTTAGGTAGTCCTATCATGTAATGTGACAAGCAGACCCCACCCCCACCCATCCAGTGGATTTGTTCCCAGGTCTTGAGTGCATTTAATTTCTTTTAGATGAGGCTTTGCACGCTCCTCTGCCTGTTCCAGCAGTTTACCTCGTAAATGTTAACATTTCCTTTTATTTGGCTCCACGTTTAAGTAAGTGAAGGGCTCTGTCTAATGTCTGGTTAGTGGATAGTGGACCCATGACACCTGGAAGTTATCACACGCAAACTTGTCTGCACAAAAAATGTTCCAGGTGATAGTTTTGATTAAAAAAAAACCAACTTATTTGGTCAAGATTCAGAGTTTAAGCATTGCTGTGTTATCYCCTTTATTTGTTAAAAGAACGTGCTAATGATTTAAAATTTAACTCACATTTTATATATTTGACTTATTTTGTTTTGCCTCATAACCAGGAAGTACAAGCCTCTTCATATGCAGTCTATGGCCTTTCCTGTGTTGTGCTACTCGGGTCGATATAGTCCCTTTGAATCTCCTCCTCCTCCTCGCTTTGAAACACAAACTGTGCAAAGCAACAGTAAAAAAAGGTTTGCTCAAATGTATCTAACTATATAATATAAGCTGTTACAGAAAGTCTATTCAGTGCTCTGAAGGGTATTTTATGCTAACAGTCTATTTGTGTGTAACCAGGGAAAAGAAAGCTGAAAACAGCCTTCAGGATAAATCTCAAACCCAGCTCACCTGTAATCCTTCGCCTTGGCGACCACGCAAAAAGGACTCGTCTTACTGTGAATGCTGTCATGAAACCTTCACTAATCTAGAGGAGGTGAGAGTCTTTGAGATTCTTTTTGTTTTTGTTTTCTGCTTTATTATTCAGTGTTTCCTCTTCCTCTTCGTAGCACTTGCAGTCAGACCAGCACCGCTCGTTTGTCCTGGACCCCTCAAACTACAGAGTTGTGGATCAGCTTGTGGTTGAGATGTTGCCAGGATTTGACCCAGATCCACCTCAACCAACAGAAGAAAGGTGAGCTTTAGTAGCTACTGTTGTCCTAATGTTGTGGATTTATATCTTAAACCACTGTGGTTTGTGTCCTTTATTATTATTTCTTACTTATTTATTTWTATTTTTCTAGACCCCCAACTCCTCTCCCCATCCATGCTGACTGTGAACTAGAGCCTTTGACGGACGTTGAAATGGAGCACACGGTTCAGGTCCTTCTAAAAGAAGAGTCATCCTTCAATAATCGCATTTCTAATCCCGCTCAAAGTCCACCTTCTTCTAGCCCCGCCCGACCGTCACTAGAAGTTAATTTTACSATCCCAAATGCATTCATTCCACCGTTTGACCTTCAGTCTTTTAATCCCGAGACAAACCACAAGTCCTTTGATGTCCAGCCTCGCGCTTCAAGTCCAACCATGCCCGTACTGACTGTTGAACCACTCGACCAGCACCCTGAACCTGTCTCCCCGTGTCTCAGTGCTTCATGTCCTCTCTCTGACCCTTACTCCCTGCCTCCAGTTCTCAGTCCACAAGTTACCTTTAGCATTATGGATCCAAAGAGTCCTTACTTGGAACCCCCTATTCTCAGTCCTCAAAAGTACATCGGRAAGGAGACTTTAGAAGACGACACGTGTGAAGTGAACCTTGATGAATATGGTTTAACAGTTCCCCTCTCAACTCTACTTCAAACTTTTGGGATTGATGCAGAAGAAGAGAGGGGGTTGAACCATTTAGAGGACGCTCCTCAGTCATCATGTAGGTCTTATTCAGTCCCTTGGCTGTCAGCGGGTTCACCAAACCCCAAGAAGCGTTGTCAGTCGGCCAGCCCTGAACACAGAAACARGAAAAGGAGGAGGACAGCGATGTCTGGGGAGAGTTGTGACAAGCAAAGCCTTAACGCTTTGGAACCACCTGTTGAAAATGTGTCCACATCAGCTGCTTCATGCTTTGTGGATTTCCCTTTATTAAAACCATCCTGCTCCACATTTTCTCCTTCTGCTGTTCAGAGTTTCACTCCTACACTAGCTCAAATGAACTCGGCTTCCTTTCCCAACGGCGACAAACCTCAGCGTGCGATTTCCAGTCAAGACTCTCCTCGTTTCCCCTCCGCCTCCGTGCGCATCGAGCCGGCTCTCATCCCAAACCTGGCCACCATCTCTTCGGCGTCGTCCGACTCGGACTGGGACTGCGACCTGCTGTCGCGCCTGGGTCCGACCCCGGCTTCGCGCGTGTCGCCCAGCGAGCAGCAGAACCGTGAGCTCGACAAAGAGCTGCTCCACAGGCCGTGTCCCTGGATGCACGACACCGCCTACAAGTCGCGTCTGTCCAGCGTCCTCCAGCCGTCCACTCCGGCTGCATCGCTGTGCAGCGAGGACACCGACTCTCAGCCGTTCTCCAGAACTGTAGTACAGATTGTTGAGGTTCTACACTGAATGCAGATGTTTATTTTATTTAACTATTTTTTTAAAGTTGTTTTTACAGATGCTGCTTTATGTTTATATTGTATATTTTTTTAATGTCAAAGAGTTTATAAGTAGTCTTAACTTATCCTCCTTGTGCGTAGACCTCGAAGCARTGCTCTGTACGTTTTGCTGACTGCAGTCATTCAGCAGCTCTGTCCGGGAACACGCGGCAGTACTGAGAATTTAATGAGGACTTTCTGAAAGCGCGGGCATTACTCAATTACTCTAAGTGCTGCTCCTGGATCAGAGCCCACACGAGATGATGTCGGCGAACAGGCGAGACGTTCATGAGTAGAGCGACAGCTCACGGCACAAACTTTGTGATTAATGTCAAATAGCTTTTCCTGCCTGTTGAAAGTGTGCCAAAAAAAAGGACAGGATTCGTGAAGGAGGGTCAAGTGTTTTCACAGTAGTGCGTTGCAGCTCCAGGAAATTTTAACCTGCACTTGGCAGACCGTTTAATCAGATCAGAGTTGTACCTCAAAGATTTTAAATCAAAGAAATGCCAATTTGATTATTGGCAGTTCTTGAAGGGAAATGTAAATGAACATTTTGTACAATGATTTTTAAAAAAAACAAATAAATATTTTTGAGCTATAAACTTTTCCTCTTCCACTCAAGATGTAACTTAATAAATGTTGACTCAGTCTGCAGGAGCCAAATGAACAGAGAGGGAAGGATGAATGAAGGGCAGCAGCAGGTCGATGTCTCCTGTGAGCTCATCAGACCTCCTTTCTGCTGGCATAAACAATATTTGATACCATATCTCCATCACTGTGGATATAACATACATACCTATGCAGAACTGATGGAATGAATGAGCAGTATTTCTTTAAAAACCTTTTTTATAACTCAAACATCAAGGAACTGGTTGTTTTGACTGTTTTTAAAGTGTGTTTTTTCTTTAAAAATCAGGTGATGATAAAGTTAAGATATAACTGAGTTGTGCAGATAAGTAGAAAATCCAAAAACTTTAGATATAATTAGTAAATTTCTATGGTCTTTTACATAACTGAATTTAACCTTGCAGAGATCAGATTCTTGAAGAGTATACAAACTAAACCGCGAGACTTGGAGGGCGGGCTCGTGAAGCCCCACGTGCTCCTTGTTTCCAGGCTCGCGCAGCCTCTATTTCTAATTTGAAGCGGCCGACAGACAGGTGTGCTGTTGACTTGAGCCCAGAGTAGGAGCCTTTTTGTTTTATTATTATTATTTTTCTCCAGAGTGGTTYTAAAACTATCGAAGGGGAGGGAAAGGAGGTGAGAAATGCGTACGTGTCGCCGAAAGGAACCGGGTTGTTGTGTTTGTCCTCGCGGCTCCGGGCGGGTCATTTAACGGAGCAACACCGAGGAAATCACAGGGACTATGTGAGCATCATGCTGGCTGTGAGATGCCTGCTGTTCGCTGCAGTGTGTGCAAGGTGCGCCGAGACAGGTGAGACCCTCCCGCGAGTTTCATAACACATTGCGACTTTAAAAAAAAAAGAACGGTGTTATTGACCACCTTTGCGTCCATTCAGACCCTTTTAGAAAAGTCACTTCAGTCTCTGCAGGTCTGAGGGGATGGGTGAGGCTGGGGGGACGGCTGCCGTCCTCGGAGGAGACAGTTCAGCCCAAACGGCTCCTGCAGCAGAAACACACAGAACAGGAGCTCCTGCACGACCACCTGGACACCCGGGTTAGGAACCTCCCAGCTGGCACGCAGCAGGTGAATGGCTATGGCAAGCCGTTTGTGTATTTATTTGATATCAAGGATGGATGGGAATATAATATAATATAACATAACATAATATAATACACTCACCGGCCACTTTATTAGGTACACCTGTCCAACTGCTCGTTAACACTTAATTTCTAATCAGCCAATCACATGGTGGCAACTCAGTGCATTTAGGCATGTAGACATGGTCAAGACAATCTCCTGCAGTTCAAACCGAGCATCAGTATGGGGAAGAAAGGTGATTTGAGTGCCTTTGAACGTGGCATGGTTGTTGGTGCCAGAAGGGCTGGTCTGAGTATTTCAGAAACTGCTGATCTACTGGGATTTTCACGCACAACCATCTCTAGGGTTTACAGAGAATGGTCCGAAAAAGAAAAAACATCCAGTGAGCGGCAGTCCTGTGGGCGGAAATGCCTTGTTGATGCCAGAGGTCAGAGGAGAATGGGCAGACTGGTTCGAGCTGATAGAAAGGCAACAGTGACTCAAATAACCACCCGTTACAACAGAGGTAGGCAGAAGAGCATCTCCGAACACACAACATGTCGAACTTTGAGGCAGATGGGCTTCAGCAGCAGAAGACCACACCGGGTGCCACTCCTTTCAGCTAAGAACAGGAAACTGAGGCTACAATTTGCACAAGCTCATCGAAATTGGACAAGAGAAGATTGGAAAAACGTTGCCTGGTCTGATGAGTCTCGATTTCTGCTGCGACATTCGGATGGTAGGGTCAGAATTTGGCGTCAACAACATGAAAGCATGGATCCATCCTGCCTTGTATCAACGGTTCAGGCTGGTGGTGGTGGTGTCATGGTGTGGGGAATCTTTTCTTGGCACTCTTTGGGCCCCTTGGTACCAATTGAGGATCRTTGCAACGCCACAGCCTACCTGAGTATTGTTGCTGACCATGTCCATCCCTTTATGACCACAATGTACCCAACATCTGATGGCTACTTTCAGCAGGATAATGCGCCATGTCATAAAGCTGGAATCATCTCAGACTGGTTTCTTGAACATGACAATGAGTTCACTGTACTCAAATGGCCTCCACAGTCACCAGATCTCAATCCAATAGAGCATCTTTGGGATGTGGTGGAACGGGAGATTCGCATCATGGATGTGCAGCCGACAAATCTGCGGCAACTGTGTGATGCCATCATGTCARTATGGACCAAAATCTCTGAGGAATGCTTCCWGCACCTTGTTGAATCTATGCCAYGAAGAATTGAGGCAGTTCTGAAGGCAAAAGGGGGTCCAACCCGTTACTAGCGTGGTGTACCTAATAAAGTGGCCGGTGAGTGTATATTGCCAACCAATTTCGCACTTGCAACTCTATTCCACAGACACTTTTACTAATTACACTTTTTTTGTTAAATAGTTGGGGCAGAAACATAGACTTGAATATAGATCACTAGAGTGAGCTCCGCCCATCCCGTCCACTGGTAGCATCTGTGACAGCATGGAGGAGCAAAATGGCATCCAAAAAGGGCAACAGCTTACAGTCACCATAGAAACGTAAKGTWATGCRTATAACTACTGTTCCCTGGAGGAAAGGAACGAGGTACAACACATCATGTATGGGAACCCACGCCCCTGCGTGTCCTGGCTGAAGCCACCTCTAATCACGCCTTTAGGCAGATGACGTGATGACGACAGATCTCAGGCTCCGCCTGCACATATACAGTATATACTGTCGCCATCACAGTTGCTCCTTAGTTCGGTAACTGCTCTTCACCGAGTCCAGCTGTGCAGCAGGGCCACCATGTGTTGTACCTCGTTCCTTTCCTTCAGGGAACAGTAGTTATGAGCATAACATTACGTTCCCTTTCAGTCAATTCACTCAGTACAACACATCATGTATGGGACATATATAAACACCCCGCAGGGCTGCACCAAACTTGGGTCATAAGAACATGCTAGTGCWGCACTTCAGACCCAGCGGAGAACACAGAGTGAGCCACCGAAGGRGCTGTCACATCTAAGCRATAAAATTGAACAAAAGTGTGCGGTGAAGACTAGCTGGCCGCAGCACAGATGTCACTCACATGTACCCCTTTAAATAGTGCCCAGGACACTGCTACACCCCTGGTGGAGTGAGCTCTCACACCAGATGGGACTGGGAGGCCCCTGCTGCTGTAAGTTAAAGAGATAGCCTCCACAATCCAGTGGGAGAGTCTCTGTCTGGACAGAGCCCTGCCCCTGAGTGGGTTAGCAACACACACAAACAGCTGATCACATGACCTCACCTCCTGTGTGCGGTCAATGTAAATACGCAGTGCACGTAGAGGACACAAAGAATGCAACCTCCTCTGTTCCTCAGATGCCAAAGGGGGAGGATAAAAACTAGAAAGCTCAATAGACATGGAGCTGTAGTTAGAAGGTATCACCTTAGGGAGATACGCTGAGTTTGGATGCAGAACCACCTTGGAGCCATCAGGTGAAAACTGAATACAGGAGGGATTYACAGACAGAGCATGGAGATCCCCGACCCGTTTAACAGTTGTTAGTGCCAGAAGCAACACAACTATATATGAAAGGGACTTCAAATCCATAGACTCCAGGGGCTCAAAAGTGGGGTCACAGAGAGCCTCGAGCACCACAGTAAGATCCCAGGTAGGGATACTGGGTTTAATAACAGGCCGCAGCCTACGGACCCCCTTCAGAAAACGCACTGCTAGAGGATGAGCACCTGGCGTAACTCCATCAAAACCCACATGGCAAGCAGAGATAGCTGCCAAGTAGACTTTAATTGTGAAAAAAGCCAGACCTTTATTCAGCAGCTCCTGAAGGAATGTTAAAACATCCACCATAGAGCACTGAAACGGGACAATGTGCCT